TCGGAACACCGGAGAAACTGTGACCAAAATATTATTTAATATCCCCACCGCCATTACTTTCGGCGGGGACTGTATATTATTTTTATATTTTTTAGGTAATTTTAAAGGATTTAAAATTATATTTTATTATTTTATTCTTTTTTGATAATATTGATATTATAATAATATTATATATAGAATAATTTTAAGAAATTTTTGAAAAAAATTAATTATATTTTATTATTATATTATTATTTTACATAATTTTTCATTTTTTGCTTATATTTTTTAATAAAAAATTAATTATTGAGTATTAATAATATTTTGTTATATTTTTTAAATTTATATTAGATTTTTATTATTAGTAAAATTTTAATATTTAATAAATTTAATAAATAAAATATATTTTATATGCTTATTTGACTAAATTTATATTAAATTAAGACCAATTTTAGGCTAATTTATGGTTATTTAAATTTGAATTAATGCTGAATTGATTAAGATTGTCTCTCGTATTTAGTTCTAATAGATTACAAATTACATTATAAATTATATTTTTTTATATTTATTTTGTATTTATATTTAAAATATATTTCGTATCATAATATTATTTTATAATATATATAAATTGTATTATTTGTAATTTATTAATATTGCATATTTATTACGTATATATGATATAATTAAAAGATCAATTCAGAAAATTAATAAAATTAGTGGGAAAATTATTTGATAAAATGTTTTTATATAAAATCATCTTTTTGATTTTTTTATTATTATTTTGAGATTTTAAATTGTAGTTTTTATGTGAAAAAATATGGAACAAGTGAAAACTCATTTTTACTTTAAAATGTTGATCGTAGATAAAAATTACATTATTTTTAATAGTTTTATTTCACAACTTCTTTTGTTATTATAAACTTCGCTATGAATATTTAATATCTAATACTATCTAATTCTTTAATAAAATCTATTTCTGTAACTAAAAAATGTGATCTTAAGTTCTTTTCAATTTGGTTTTACTTTACTCTTTATATAAAAAAAGTAGGTAGTTACTATAGTAGTGCTTGTAACTCCTGTGAATTTAAAATTTTAACTGTAACTATTTCAAGTCTTAAAGAATATTTGGTTAATATTTATATAAAAGTACTAAAAGATATTAGACTTGAATATCTTAAAAAAGGGCTGGTAATATTGAAAAAGTTAGTATCTGTTATTACATCAAATAAAAAACAAAATTTAGTAAATGAAAAATAAGTGAAACTCAATTTATTTTATGAAAATACTTACTTAATATCTAAATATTAAAATAGTAATGAATGTATCATAGTGCAAGTATTTATTTATACTAGAAAACCATTTCATATAATAGAAAATCTATATATAATTAAATTATTTTGTCAGTTTTATCTTGCATTTATATCTTCATTACGAAAATTATTTGTAGAAAATTTAGTTGGTAATAAACTTTCCTAAGTTATTCTATAGTAATAAAATATATTTTAATAATTTGATAATTTAACTCTTGGTAATATATATTATTTTATATTTTATATTTTATTTATTTATTTAAAAATCTATTTATTAAAAAAATTTAAATAATAATTTTTAATTTTTATTAAATTGAGTATTAGATAGTTAGATTATATCACAAAATAATTTAATTTAAAATTTTATTATTTTAATACCTGATCAAAAAAAATATTTATATAAACTTAAAAATTATTCATCAACTTTCATACTGGTGAATTTTTAACTAATAAAGTAGAAATAATTATTATAGAGATTGGAACTAAAAAATTTTATGTTATAATTGCTGATAGAGGATCAAATTGTAAAGATAATTTTAGAAAAATTTCTATATATAGCAAATATTTCTTGTATTATATATAGATTAAATATTATTACTAAAGATTTTATAGTTTAGCATTTACTAAAAAAATAATTAATCAAGTGAGTATGTTTACCAAATTTTTTTAATAAAACTTATTAATTAAATGTAAAATTACGAGAATTAATTAAAGTAAATAATGTATAAGGTGATGAATTAAAAAGTATGTAAGTATTAGATTAGATAGCATACCTATAATGATTATCTTGAATTGATTTAAAGATTACATATTTGTTTAATTAAAGTAAGTTATTTTAAATTATTTTTTTACTATTATTATTTAATATGTAAATTATTTTATTACTAAAATTAAAAAATTTAATAGATTTTAGATAATTATCCTAATTTGTTTACTAATTATAATGTAAAATAACTTTTATGCCATGATGAATTTTATTAACATTGTAAAGTAGTAGCTGATATTTTAAAACCAATTTGTAATGCTATACTTGAAATTGAAAGACATAATTTAAATTTAGCAAATTGATTTATGATAATGATTAAAATTGCTATTGTAATTAATAATCTTTTTACTAATTATAATATTGGCTTTCGTAATTAATTATTTGAATTAATTAATAGGAGATTTAAACGATTTAATAATAATTTATATTTACTTACTTATTTCTTACATCTTAAATATAAAAGTAAATTTTTAATAAATTTTAATTATATTTTATTAATTATATTATTAGTTAATTTAATAAATTTTAAGATGAGATTTAAAACTAACACTTTTTATCAGTTAAATTTAATTATTACACAAATGTTAAAGAATATAAAATATAGTAAGGTTGATTATCAAACTTTAGTTACTTAAATATACAAGTTTGATCTAAAGCAAGCACTATTTGAATTATCTTATACTAAAAATCATGATATTCTTTTAATTTAATGAATGACAAGCAAATCTTTTCCTAATTTTCTTAAAATAGTGGCTATTCATATCTTTAATATTACACTATATAGTACTTTATATGAAAGACTCTTCTTTACTTTAGGTTAGTTTATGGATCTTATTATACTAATTTATTGATATCTTAGCTTGAAACTATAACTAAAGTTCAAAGATTCTGTATTTAAAAAATGAAAAATAAATTATATTTTACTAGTAAAAATATATCTATTAAAGAAATGATCAATTTATTAATAGATTCAATTAATGATGAATTAGATAAAGAAGAGAAAGAAGAAAATATTGATATAAATTTTAAAGAAGATTTAGAATCAGTAATAGATATTAATTTAAATATTACTACAACTTTGAATTTAAATGTTATAATTATTAATGATAATACAAATTTTAATGAAGATAATAATCAAAAAGTAAATTTAAAAAGTAAAGTAGATTTTAATTTGAAAAATCTAGGTAGATGAAGGTTTATAAAAGATATTATTATATAAGTAAAGTAATATTTTTTATAATAAATTGTTAAATAATTTTATAAAATAAATTTAGCATTTTTTTTCTATAAAATAATTTACAATTTTAAATATTTATTATACAAATAATTAATCAATTAAAATTAAGAATTAATTATGCAATATAAAATAATTATGAATTACGAATTAATTATACATTATGCTTTATGAAATTTTATCTATAGATATATAATATATAATTACAAATAACATTATAAATTTTTTATAATTCAATAATTATGATCAGCATCCTTAAAATTAATATTAATTTTAGATTGATTTATAGTTAAATTTAAGTTCTGAATTAATGTTGAATCAATGCTAAATTGAAACTAATTTTAGGCTAATTTATGATTAATTTAAGTACTAAATTGATACTAAATAGCTATATCTAATTAGAGTTAATTGACATTAATCAGTATATATTTATGTTAATCAGAAATATGATAAATAATATAAAAATTAGCCTAAATCAGTTATCTAATTTTTAGCCAATTTGAACTATTGCAATCAATAAATATAATACTATAAAATATTATATTATAATAAAAATTAAAGCTATTAATTATCATATTATAATTATTATTTTTTATTTAATAATAAAATTTGATTAAATTTATTATTTATTTATTAATTAATATTTATTTTTATAATTAAAAGCCTTTTATTTTTATATTTATTTATATTAAACTTAACATTAATCAATCTTTACTAAATGTATCTTTTCATTCAATCCTAAACATATAAAATTCATATAGAAATTTTCTCTTTAAATACATATTCTTTTTAAATGCACATTTTTTAAAATTTTTATTATGATTCTAAAGGTATATCTAAAGAGGATTGAGTGTATTATTATTTTATAAAATTATTATATTTGATTCTAAATATAATAAATCTGCTTATATTAAAATCTTATTATATTGAACTATATGTTATAGAACTGATTTTTTATAATTGATCAGGCTGAATATAATAAATTTATATAATAAAATATTATATACTACATTTAAACTAATTTTAACTAAACATATATATTAAGCTATATATTTAATAAACTGAAATATCATTTGATTTAAAATTTAACATATAGGAAGATTTCTAGGAAAATCAGATTCTTAAAAATTTTAACTAAAATTAAGAGCTTAATGTATTTTAATCTAATAACATCAAAAACTAAAATACAATAAAAATCTCAATTTTATTAAAAAGTTCCTGAAATCTGATTTTTCTAACAATCAACCCATATGAGATTGTGTAATTAAAATGTTACACTGTAAATTATTTGCTAATGTGATAATCTTTTTATATAAAATACTATTTAATAACTAATGTCAGTTTTACATAATAATACTAACTTTTAATATAATAAATTGATAAATTTTATTATTATGAAATGATTATGTATCTGTATTTTTATTAGTCAATTTTATATACTGAACAATTTAGTATAAAACATGATTATTATAGTGAATTCATTTTATACTAAATCAAATCTTCTGAAATAATAGGTTTATTATATTCAGAGTCAACAGTGTTACTATTATTATTACTAATAACTTTACTATTTTATTATAATTATTAATATTATGAACATTATTTTACTTATTTAATTTTTTATATTGTTAAGTAAATTATTATAATTTAAATATTAAATTATTTTTATTAATATTATTAATAATAGAAATTCTATAATACTTAATGATCTTTAAATTAAAAACATTTATATTAAGTTTATAATTTTTTTATTTATATAATAAAATATAAAAGATATTTAATTCTTCTAATAAATGTTAATTAAAAATTTAAAAATTTAATTATTTTATAATAGTAATAATACAACTATATTTTAAAGCTTTAAATTAACTATATTTTACATTTAGGATTTTTAGAAATAATTATAATATTAGCTTTTAAATAAATCAATTTTACTGATTCTATAAAATACTTATAATAAGAAATTAAAATTAATAAAATCATATATTTTTTTATATTTATATATTTTTAATTTATAAAAGTATTTCTTATCTATTATATTCTTTTGTATTTATATATATAAATTTCTTGAGAAATAATTTATATATTTTTAAGTTTGAAATATAAACTGTTAGTTAATATTATTAGTTATACAATTTAATATAATAGTAATATTTATTTTAATAGTTGAAGTATTATAATAATTTAATGTAATTAAGGTAAATCAAATGTAATTATCATTTTATTTATATATAATATATTTTAATAATAATCATATTATTATATTTATTTTTTATAAAATAAATAATTAAAAATTTTATATTTTATTAAAAAATCATTAAAAAAATATTATACTATATGTATTTTTTCTTTTTATAACTAGATTTACAAGCATATCACTGTCTTCTTTTTTTTGTTGTTTTAATTTATAAATTTAAGTATTGCACAAGGGAAAAGAACACGGGATTTGATCTAAAAATGATGATATGCAAGTTTTATAAATAGGATTAAAATTTTAGAATTATAGTATGTAAGATATTTTTTTCTTTTAATTCATTTATACAAATATAAATATTAAAAGTAAGTATAAATGATTTTTTTTGTATTACCCTTTGTTAGTATCCTTCCGGATATTTAAATTTGTGATTTTCAAACTCATAAATGAGCGAAAATTGAAAAATACCGCACATTAATAATTTTAATGGATTTGCGCAAATAAAATTATTATCTAAAATAAAATTTTTGCAATTACGAATTTATATAACAAATATTCATTACTCGTTGATTTATCCATTAATTGCATGCACAATCAAGACGTCATCAGGACCATTTAAACATATCATTTAAAACTTAAATTGAAGAACTGCTTGTATGGTATACGGGTACTTACTTAGTCCATCCAGTTTAAGATCGATTTTGGACACAATATTCGTTACAAAAAAAAATAAACGTTATGGAGGAAGCTAGATACTCCTCCATGTTTGATATAACAAAGAATTTAATCATAAATAATATTATATTCCGTTATTGTAAAAAATCATTCGACGAAGAAGCAAGTTATTTACAGAATTATTTTCTTTTTGATATATATTTTTTGGAAACATATTGTACCATAGAAAACCAATTATCAATTGAAGAGAACGTACATTTATGCACTATTGGTGGGATGCAATACTTAATCTTCACATTGATATCTGAATGAACATTCTGGCTATCATTGGAAAATTTGTTAAAAACTGCTAATAAGGGATTCATTTGTTTTTCTCATTTATAACAAATGGAATTTTGCAAAAATCATGATTCTTGGGGAGTTAATATAAGAAAAAAAAATACTTTTCATTATTAGCGAATTATATCAATGAATACAATGATTCGCGACTATGTATGAGTTTACAATTTTGCTAAATCGTCAACGTTTTTTTTAAAAAAAAAATATAAATAAATCCAGAATACCTTTTATAATTCTACCGAACTTTACGATCCGGACTCAAACTACGAGCCTTTATATAGCAATTACAAAACAAGAATTAGGATAGATCCGGAACCAGCAATGAATTCACCTAGAAAAGGACCAATCACATATCGACTCTTCCAGATAAGCTGACTCTTTTGTCGTCTTATCAAAAAATCCAGTATCAGATCAACGGACCAAAAAATTTTGATGACCCAAATGTTCCGAATGAAAACATATCGACATAATTGGTTAAAACGGAATAGCTACCCAATTTTAGCCACTTTTTAATTAGTCAAATAATTTCATAAAAATCGTATCGGATCAAAATGGAATCCGTATTCCGGAGTAATCATAAAAAAAGAATTCACGTGGTTAAACATGAATCTGATCAGGTTTTAAGGAAATAAAAGTCCGTAATTGGGTTTAACCAAATTTGAATTTGATTTTAAAAAAATACTACAAATTATTTATTTCCCCTCTTTAATTCTAGATATCAAAAAAATGGTTTTTTGTGCCGAGTGTAAAAGGAAAAATGTCTTTATAGATAATACCGGTCAAGCTGCTGAGTTTTGTTCGAACCAATGTCGAAGAACTGCCGTAGAAAAACGTAAGCTGCATATGTACCAATTTAAAAGGAATTACTTTTTAAATTAACAAATAATTCCATTTTTATATCATAGGTCATGTTCAAGCATGTATTAAATGTCGTATTTGGCCCATGATAAGGTTGCTTGACGGTTCAAGGTCCCCTTTTTGTAGTAAAAAATGTCAGAACTCAATAGGCGGAAATTCACCTATTACTGTTAGACCTCCTCCTCTACCTTCTTCTATGCCATTGCAACCGCCACAACCTTATCGTCCTGCCACCTATGCAGTGTTGCCATCGCCACCATTGAATCAACCTAATCCTTCTATTGGAATGCCTTCACAGTCTTCAATGCCCATTTTACCAATTGGAAATGCGAGACCAATCGGAGGTTCATGGGTTATGGCAACAGTACCATTTTGTCGTTATTGTAATGCAAAACCTTGTTTGAAAGATCAAGTTAAACTAACTTATTCATCTTACTGTTCACGGAGGTGTAAAGATGCTGCTGAACGTTTGTATTCCTTTAATGTACCTATTTGTTTATTGACAATTTATTTACCTAAATCAATTAATTTTTTTTTTTTTTTTTTTTTAAAGAAGCTCCTCAAGTTGTTCCAACTTTAAATAATGTGCCTTTTACATCCCAATCAAGTTACAATGGACAAGTGTTATCTCCAACTACTAACAACGGGATGGTATCATCTCAATATTTACCATACCAACCAAATAATATTCAGCAACCACAATATCAGTTAAACAATATACATCAGCAGCAACCACCTTTGCCGAATATAATTCAACCACATCTTCCAAATTCACAGAATATCATTCCACAATCACATTTGCCTCCAAATTCTTCAAATAATATACCACGACAAGTTCTAAATAACATACAACTTCAACAACAGCCTCAAAAACAATTAAATAATCTCTCAC